AAAATTAATCACAAAGACGATGGCAGTATAAAAATCACAGTATACAGAAAACCCACACACACAGATCAATACCTTCTCTGGACATCGGAACACCCTACAGCATACAAACTCTCCGTAGTCAGAACACTTTATGAATGGGCCAGTATCATCACCGAGGAAGAGGACAGACAGGAGGAGGAAAAACACATACGACACGCACTCACACACTGCCAATATCCAAAATGGGCCATAACCAAAGGGAAACAGCAAGTCAAAAACAAAGAAAAACAGAAAGGAAACAAAACAAAACCCAAACAAAAAACCGACAGCAGCTACAAAGACATGGTGACCATACCGTACATCAGGGGGATCAGCGAGCGCATACAGAGGACAATGAAAAAACACAAAATAAATGCAATATTAAAACCTCACACAAAGCTCCGCCAGCTCTTAGTTCATCCAAAAGACAGGATGAACACGGACAAAAAATGCAACATAATATACAAAATCCCATGCAAAACATGTAAAAAAACATACCTAGGAGAAACAGGAAGAAGCTTTAACACAAGAAAAACAGAACATAAAAAAGAATGCGAAAAGGAAACGACAGGACATCTCACAAGATCACAAAAAGAAAAAGCAGAGCAGGTGAACCTAAAATCAGCCATATCAGATCACTGCAAAAGAAATAATCACATCATGGACTGGGACAACGCAAAAATCATCGGATCGGAAAGCAACAAGTTCAAACGTTGGATCAAGGAGGCCATAGAGATCAGGAGGCGGGCCAGGAACACCATCAACCGGGATGAGGGGGCTTTCATGCTGTCACACACCTGGGACTCTCTCCTACAAAGAACACCGGGCGGCGGGGGGCGTGACCAGTCTGGAAAATCTGTCGGATTGCCAGGCTGGTCACGTCTCCGGGATACTACCAGCTGATAAAGACACGTCATGATGCACGTCAGATGACGCTTCTGAAGAAGACTGCAGTGACAGTCGAAACATGTCAAGGTAAACTACATCTCCTTAAAAACTCATTGTCTGAAAAAAAGAAACCTTTCTACACTGAAAATAAGACATCTGAAGACAGTAACTTGGATTCAAGGAAACTGGGATAAGCATATTTACTATTTCTTAACATTTCATAGATTAAGTGATTAAGTGGAAAATAATCAGCACATTGATTGATAATTAAAGAAATCTTTAAGTGCAGCCAGACTGATCTTGACCATACCAACCATCCCGAAGCTCTTCATCTCAGTTTGATGCAAATTGATTTTGAGTTTCATGGAAAATACCACCTGCTGATCAAATGAACAGCAACGGGCAAATGTTCCCCAAATGTTTAAAGCTCCTATCACACTATTTTTGATTACTGGACATCTAGGGAGTTTGGCCTAAGAATAATTTGTTGAAGCCTTGAACTGTCATGATCCTGGGATTTTGGGTGTAGTCTTATCTCTGTTACTTTGTTATTTGCATTTTCTATTTGTGTTTTTTCTTGTTTCATGATATTCATTCATGTTTAATTTGTTTCCTGTTTTGTTCTGTAGATTCACTTTGCATGTGTCGTCTCTGGTTTTACTTCCTGTCTTCGTGTTTTCCTGCCATAGTGTTTGTCTGCCCTGCCCTGATTACCTTCACCTACTTTATATCAGTCTCATTAGTCCTTCCCTGTTCCAGAGTTTTGCCTGCACACCTTTGTTGTAGTCTCATTTGCTCCATGCAAGGCATGTGCCCTACCACACCATCATTGACTCCATTGTTCGCCTATCCTTGTGTTTCCCTCCTTTTGCCAGTCCCTGCCTACTCCAGCTGTGTCTTGTTCTTCTGATTAGTTCTCTATGTACACATATCTTGTTCTTTGTCAGTTCATGGTCAGTGCTTCCTGGTGTTGCGATTTTATTTTTGCTTCTCGTCTTTGCTCCTCGTGTTTCAAGCCAGCAAATTCTGTTTTGCCTTTGTCTGCCTGTTGCTAGAATCTGGTAATCATCAGACATTATTTTCTTTGAGTTTCTCTTGCATTGCTGTTGCTTTTGCACTTGGGTTCAAGTGCCTGCAATAACCATGACATGAACTCCCATTACACTTCTATCAAGGTCAACCCTGTAACCCTCCACTTAAATCTTAAATATTACAGTTTTCAAAGGACCAGCCTTTGCATTCCCTGGACAGCTGGTTTTGATTGTTCTAAAAATGTACCAGTTCCCAGGCCTTACTACACCATTTCAGCTTCCATATCAAACACAGATTCTGTGGAATCCGTAATCCCAACTCATCCGATTCCAGAAAATTTGCTTCAAAATTGAGGTCTATTACACAGCCACCTTTACTCTACTACCTCAACCTCATAAACAAATGGAGGGAAAAAATTGTCCCTTTTGTGGCATTGTATTCCTCCTACAGGATTTAGGTCATGAGACAGGCTTAAAAGAACTTAAGTGAGATCATGTAAGGCATTGCTTTAAAATTAACATCAAGGTGTATGTCATTCAAACTGAAGGGATGACTAATCCCACTTCCAAACAAATCTACTATATCAAGAGGAACAGTGCTCTAGATCTTTGCCCAGGTTCAGTCAGATGGCAACCCTAAGGGATAACATCCGTTGCCCAACTCAGACACTCTTGAACTTCATTCAGGCTGACTTCCATCAGACATGCCCACTGTTCCATTGAAAAGCAATTAGCACCTGTGCATCTTTAAAGGTGAAAAAATGGTTCTCTAGAATTATTTGATTTGCAGCCCCAAATCAAGACATGGCATGACAAGTCAGCCTTCAGGTTCTTCAGGAACACCACATGGGATCACTGTCAAAACACTTCTGTCTTTATGGCAACCAAATGGGCCAGGAGACATTTTCACATATACAGGATGAGATCATTCACTGGGCGGCAGATGAACTTCGGAAACTGGTCGTGGGAGGCCTCCTACTGGTGCCTATATTAGCAACTCAAGGATCAGTTCAACTTCTCATTTAAGAAAGAAAGGGGAAGCAACCATTATGGGTTCTCCCTGACACATAACTGTTTCTTCACAAATGCGGTGACAGTCATCTCATTCCACTACCCACAGGAGGATTTGCCATAGCAAACCTCCCAGGTCCCTTTAGACCCTTATCAATAGAAGACTCAGCCTTCTCAGAAAATATGACTACATTTTTGGAATAACAGTTCTGGAATATCAAAGACAAATAGACAGAAAAGACTACAGTATGCATTTGAAAGCTACATTCACAATGTGATTTGTTGGTGGAGTACTCTGACTAAAGAAGAAAGTAAAATCGTGGGAAAAGCTCACTGGTCCCCAAGGCAAGTGTGAGGCACTGCATGTCTTGAAAATTTAAATGATGACAAACATATACAGTAAAAACAATATTCTTGCATGGCACGGTAAGTCAATGTATTGTTTTATTTTAAGCTATGTTTAGTTATGATTCCCTATAGCTTTCATTATCTAATATTTTTTAGCCCAATGCTAGCAAAACTAAATTATCCCACTTTTCCATGTGTTTAAAGTGCCAACAGTCTCAAATGCTATACAGCAACCTCCCTTAAAGTTAAAGCATAAGTGACTTGAAACTAATGTTCGACCGTGTTTGTTTGCTGACATACTAAACTGGCTACCATTAGTTTGGGAATGAAGCCTTTTGCTTGCTGTTTTTGTGTTGCTACATACCTCACATTTCTGGAGGCGAAGCTCCTGGACCAACTGGTGGAACTCCTTGTGATCCACCCTCATTTTTAGGGTTTCATGTACCCACACAGATTTTGTTTCCCTTTGCCCAACAGACTATTTACTGACAGCCCCGTACCCTCAACCAGAACTACAGAAAGTACCCTCTGCCTGTCCATTTATGGAACTAGCTACTAATTACTGTGAAAAATTAATAAATAAATAAGTAAATGGTAGATTAATTACACACATTAATTGCACACCATTTCTGCAATTTACCTTGTTCTGAAAGCTTGACAGGCCTCCCATGCCTAGTTACGTTTGCTGATTGGACAGTGTGTGTTCTAGGTAGAGGCTTAGCAAAGGGTTGGACCCAATTCCAACACTTCTTGATTATCTATTGTGTTGAAAACATGCATGGCCTCAATGGGATGACTTGCTTTTTGATCACAACCTATAAAGCCACTTGTAATATTTAATATTAATTATATTTAATTACCATTGATCAGCTTCTCACCCCCACTAGGAGACAACGACAAAGCCCGCAACCAACTAATCCTTGCCACTTCCCACTTTTCATATTCCCAGTCGTTAATAGGAATCCTTTCATCTGCACAGCAAAGGAAATCCAAAACCACTGGGAAGTTTTTTTAAGGGTTGGAAACATGCCAAATCCAATCCCTGACAAACTAGTCATAATGCTCTCCTCAGACTTTTAGCTAACCTCAGTGCAACACCAATTACTAGTGAGGGGTTTCTTCTTCATTACTACTCTTACGTCCTGAAGGAAATAAAAAAATCATTAGCAACATATCTTTCCTTCTCTTTTGAGCATTAGCAATGCCTAAAGCTCTGCACCTTTTTTGAACACCAATCTGATAAACCCTGCTACTTTCCTTTACAATCATCTTATGAATAATATTCCGCAGATGTCCTGGAGAAACTTCTTGTCTTGTTCAATGTGTACCACCACACGATCTGAAATCTGAATCTTCAACAGGAGAATTGTAATCTGTCAGAGCTCAAATGACAAGCCTTGATGGATTTTCAACAGAATATCATAATGCCAGCAGACAAAGGTGGTTTAATTGCTCATGATGGCTCCAGTCCTATCTCAGATCAGTCCTCTCTTTGGCTAAGTCCATGTTTCAGTTAGAAGCTGACAGCTGTTGAACAGTCCCCTGTGAGAGGGGCCACTGCTCCTTCTGGGTCTCTGCACTGTTCTCACCATCTGCTCATCATGTTTAGCACATTACTGAATACATTGTCTTGTATGTGATGTCAGGTTGTTTAACGTTTAATTATTCAGAGAGTCTTGTTTCCTGTATGCATGCGTGTGTCAGAAACATGCTAAAGGCCAGGAGCTGTTCATTAAGGTGTGTGACCACCTTAACCTGCTGGAGAAGGACTACTATGGCCTGGTCATCTGGGAGACGCCCACCATGAAGGTGAGCTGGATTTAAACTATCATAAGTTAGTATTCCAACTATCCCAACCTCATTATTTGATGAAGAAAGAGACAGGTCTTTCTTTGGTGCTTAGATTAATCTATGGCTCTCAGTGTCGAAGTGTTCTTACACTAAATGGTGTTTGATGATTTCGAATCTCATTTTCTTGATCAGATTTGGATGGACCTAACCAAGGAGATCCGTAGGCAGGTTCAAGGTAAGCTGAACTTTTTCCAAGTACACAGTTTCTAATACATGTTTACAGTTGTTTCATTACACGTTCATTTTTTTCCTCCAGGTGCCAATTATAATTTCACATTCAATGTGAAATTTTATCCACCTGACCCAGCCCAGCTCTCTGAAGACATAACAAGGTACTGCATGGCTTCCATTGATTTTGTCAGCTGCGCCCTACAAACATCATTTCACTGTATCAAAAGTTCACTGTGGAAAGGATTTCTTTTTCCAGATGAGAGGAAAAGGATAGAATAGAAAAATGCTGCATGGGTTATTCAGTGATTTTAGGAGTGCATGTGTGAGTAATGATGACTGGGTCAAATCACCTTCTATATCACCTGCACCTATTGTATCAAGAGGATTACTAACAAATCAACCAACAAGTGTCAAAATGATCATCAGTAAAATCACTCTAAGTCAATTAATTAAAACTATAAATGTGTGCAGTTTATAACTAGGATGGTAAGCTCATATTTCCATGTTTCCATTTTGTCCTTTTTAAAATGATTGTGGTTACATATTATTTTGATTTGTAAAGGTGACTACAAAGTCCCATGTAGGGGTGTAACAATTAATTGATCTGGACTGATGTATAGATTTAATGATCAACCATCTGATATCATCGACGCAAAACAAAAACATTGACACATATCGTCTCCTTTAAGGTATGCCTTTATTGAGGCTGACGGATTTATCGGTTTGGCCGATTAATCTGTGCCGACAGGAAGTTTTACAGACAATTGTTATCAGTGGAACTTGCTTTGCAGGTACTACCTGTGTCTCCAGCTGCGGAAGGACATCCTTCAGGGCCGCCTTCCCTGTTCCTTTGTCACCCTGTCGCTGCTGGGCTCCTACGCCCTGCAGTCAGAGCTAGGCGAGTATGACCCAGAGGTGCATGGCGAAGATTACGCTAAAGATATGAAAATGGCCCAGGGTCAGACCAAGGAACTGGAGGACAAAATGATGGAGCTGCACCATACATACAGGTCAGAACACTGCCTCAGTCAAGTTCACTTTCTGTACATCACCCAACAACTAAGTGGATTTGTAAAACAATTCTGTTACAAGACAAACCCTGTATTCAGAATATTACACATAAGTAGGAGTACATTAATATCTGCAAAATGTAATTATCATTATTAAAGCAAAACTACAAATAATGATAGTGCATTTAAGCAACATTATCGTTTTATTTCAATCTTTAAAGCCGCTACAAGGAACTTTTAACTGGATATGCAAAAGTCTCTCGTTTCTGCTGATGTCTGTGCGTGACCTACAACAGCAAATGAGACCATCGGTGTGAAGATAAGCTATTTTGTTTTTTTTTAAGATTATTTTTATGGGCTTTTTGCCTTTATTGACAGGACAGAAGGTGAAATGGGGAGACAGAGAGAGAGTGGGGACTGACATGCAGCAAAGGGCCGCGAGCCAGATTTGAACCCACGGCCGCTGCAGCGAGGCGATGCCTCTGTACATGGGGCGCCGACACTATCCACTACGCTACCGACGCCCCAAGATAAGCTATTTCTATATAGTGTATATCCATACCTTTAGGAAACTGTCTCCGGGTCCACCCCAGGTCGCTTCCAGGACGAAACGATTTATGGCACTCAGACGGCACACGTCATCTTACCTAGCTGCTTACATTTATAGTGATTCTTATAAATAGTCGCTATTCCTCCTCCTCGACCCGACGTCCGTGGGGAGTTAAAATAGCAGCAATCATCGGGTAAAGTTCTGTGAAAGCACTGGACTCACCAACAGTCAGCCACGTCTCAGTCACACAGAGAAAATCCAATCCTCGGGAAGTCAGGAAATCCTTCAGGATAAACGTTTTGTTCGCTAGCAATCTAGCATTTACCAGCCCAATCCTGGCAGGAGCCGGCGGGTCCGCGGCGTTAGCTGTCTGGGGAGCCACACACAGAGGCCGCAGGTTGTGCAGATTCACCCCGTGCCAGCGGGGACGAGGAGAGCACGGGCCGTGGGGCTGGAACACCTCATCCAGGCCGACGACAGGTACCAGCCAGGCGTCGACAGGGTCCAGTGAGTGCCGAGAAATAAAGAGGTGAGGCGCTGCTCCATACTCAGTCCAAAAAGCCCTGGAAGTGCTCGCCAAACAGGCCTTCAGCCTTACCAGCTGACCGCTGCTTTTACCCCGGCGGCAGTGGCACTTACGCCGGAGAGGTGGAGCTGAGGCGCTCCTTGTTGGCCCTCTGTAGACTTGTGCCTGTCTTTCCAGCAGCCTGGAGAAGCTGGCTAACTGACCTGCCCACAAAGCCCCTGCACCCAACTTCCACTGGGTGGATGGACGCTTCCCAGCCTGCCTCTCTGCACTCTGCAGCCAGCTCAGATTACTTGAGCCGCTTTAGCTCATGCGCCACTGGTATTCCCTCCTTCCAGGGGACAGTCAACTCAGTGATGAGGACCTGTTTGGCAGCTGTGGACCACATCACATTGTCTGGTCTCAGGGTCGTCTGCACAAGCTTGTTGGGGAAGACCAGCGGCTTGCCGAGGTCCACACACATCTCCCATTCCTTCCCAGTGGTCAGCAATGATCTTGCATGGCCTGCCACGGGCCTCTGCTGGCTCTGTTTGCTACTCTGCCTTTCTCCAGAAGGTCCGCCAGCTTCCGCAGGACCCAGTTGTGCCGCCATCTGAAGTGCCCCTGTGCCAGTGCCACTTCACATGATGACAGGATGTGCTGGAGGCCTGCGACAGGTTTTGTGAGCAGGGAAGGGTATTCTATGCTGCCCTCACCAAGAAGCTGAGCCTTGCCTGTGGGGTCTGCCAGATGTCCCTCCAGGTTATGACCTTGTGGATGGTGTCATCCCACCGAGTCCACGCCCCATTTGCCCTGGGACACGCCCGGCCTTCCTGCGCTCTTCCCATGACCTCCTTATGCTTCAGCCTGCTGATAGCTTTGTCCACCTCTACCTGGGCCCTCCACTTGCGCCCTGTTCGGACATCCGCTGCTGCGCCCATTACAGCCTGGTCCCTGGATTCCTTCAGCTCTACGACAAGACAAGCCTTCTCCAGCTTGTACCCCGTGCTTACGGACTTCAGTGGGAGCTGAAGAGTGTTCTTGCCAAAGAGACCTGCGTCTGAGAAGCAGAGAGGAAGGCCTAACCACTTCGTGATGTAGGTGTTGGCGATGCCATCCAGCCTGCTGGCCCAGGTCGATGGAATTTCACACACCTTCAGAGGCCACATCACATGCTGGAACTAGGGCTGTAGTCAACCAAATAAAATCTTGGTCGACTAAAGTCGCACATAATCTTCAACTAATCGATTAGTTGTGGGGAAAAAAAAAATCTGCACGTTATTTTTACTTCTGCGGTGGTGTGTCTGTGTCACTTTGCAGTTACACCTCCAAAACACTAGTCGGCAGTGGAGGACTGTGTTAAGTACTGTAAAGTTTAGTTCAAATCAAACTTTATTTATATAGTTGATTCAAAACACACATTAAACATGGCTTAATAGAGACAACTTCAAACACAAGTACACAATTCGGCTTTACTATAAATCGCAGAACTGACAGACAAACACATGTCTTTATCTGGACACATTTCCCCCACCAATACAACATGCTAATGTTATTAGCACAAGTCTATGGCATTTACATTGTATAAATTAGCCTAGCGTCTAGTAATCTTTTCCTCTTCTCATATGAAACCAGGGACAACAGCAACATTCAACAAAGGTAACGGCACACAATGTGGCTCCATTACAACTCACAACATTCACTGACAAAACAACTGTCTTATACTAAACATGTTTTCCAAGCAAATACAACATGCTAATGTTATTAGCGCCAGCCTATGCATTTTACATGGTATACATTAGCCTAGCGACGCACGGAGATTTCCTCTGCTCAATTTTACGCTTTTCTGTATTGTAAATCACTGTGCAGCACTTTGATAAACTTTTATGTTTTTAAAATGTGCTATATAAATAAAGTGGATTGGATTGGATTGGATATGAAGCCAGGATAAATCACACACACGACTTAAAATGCTATTTTGGTGGAGGCTTTACTGTCTTCACAATTTATTGTTTCTTAACTGTGAAATACAAGTAAATACAAGCTTTGTTTCCACTGAGGGAAATGGTGTTGGTACACAGAAACTGACAGGAGGTCTGCATCACTGCAACGCTGAGCGTTGACTTTCTGTCAACAAAGGGGGTATTTTGAAAACACTCCCATTTTCACAGGTGACTTAGCCTGTCCCCCTGCCGCCGGAAATAATGGATTAATCATGGTAAGCTATTGATGTAGCGCTTTTCTCCTTATGAAAGTAAGGCGATTATTCGACTAATGAGAATTTGGTCGGATGAGAGCATAGCGACCAAATAATTGATTAGTCGACCAGGAGACTACAGCCCTAGCTGGAACAGTGTGAATTGGTAGCACCACAGCTTCAGTTTCCCGGGGAGCTGGCTGCTGTCAATCCTTGTCAGGCCGTGAGTCGGCTGCCTCTGCACCACCCCTCCCCATCTGTTTGTCGGAGAGGTCAAAAGTGTACTCCCTGCCCAAACTTCTGATTGGCTGCTCTGCAAGAAGTGGGATCTTCTCTTCTCCTGCCATGAACACTGTCCTGTCGCTCCTCACCCCTTTCTTGATCGAGAGACTTTGCAGGCTTGATGTTCATTCGTGCCCACCCTGTGAGGTCATCTAGGCTCCTCAGATGGTAACCTCTGACTTGCCCTGCTCCACTGAGGATGATCTCAATTCGTACATAGAGACCCTGAAAAAGAGGGTGGATCATGGGGAGTACCACCAGTTGGTCCAGGAGCTTTGCCTCCATGATGGTCATTTCCAGGCATATTTTAGGATAACACAGGGCAGTTTGACAACAAGCTGTCTGTTGTTGGGCTGTATACAGCAATTGCTGCCACAGGTTTCTCCTTCCTTGTTTACCAACTGTAAACTTGTTGTCAGGACTACCACAGAAGGCCCGCCTCTCAAATCATCCCATTGGACAATGGGAAATAAGTAGAGATGATATGGGGCGCATATCCGTAGCAGGCATTAACGATAATGGATGTAAACATCAGCGCCAGCTTGACCGGTGGAGATGAGGAACAGAAGCTAATGCTGGTTGGATAAACCAGGGAGCAGCCGAGCCGCAGCAGAAACTAAAGGCGAATCCTGTCAGTTGTGGGTTGAACGGGGTCACAGACACAGACAGAAATACATATTCCTGTCAAATACGGCGGCCATAGCACTCCGCGGCGCAAGATAATGGCTTACCGGCGACCGAGAAGCCCGGTCCAAGAAGTCTTCGTTGGTGTCATGACTGCCCAGAAATACCTGAACAGCTGAGTTGTAGCAGCACACAGGTATGTGGCGTGTCAGAGGAGAAACGAGCCGTTCACATTTCCACAAACCTCAGCGCACTTTAGGGACTGTTCTGTACTTGTCAGAGGAGGAGGGTGGCTGGTTGATTTTTATTTTATTTATTTATTTTATTTTGATCCCCCCCTTATGTTAATCACTTATTGATGCTGTTTTTGAAGTATGAATAAGTCAATAAGTAATTTATTCCATTGAAATATCAGTGATGTATTATAGAAAAGTGATTTATCTTTTTATAAATGACAAACACAGAGTGTAGCAAACACAGAGAAATAGTCTGACATGCTGTCAGTGATAAGCTGCTAGTCATCACAGTCCATGATATCAACTAATAACAGGAGATGTCAGATTCTGCCCCTACATTGCATGTTATTATTTTATTCTGCTTTATGTTTATATTGTACAGCGTTATAATAAACTTTATTCCAGACTCAAGTCCATATAAGATACAGACAATACCATAAAAACAACACAACAAGTAGGTTTAAAACACTTAAATTTTACTTAAAGTTCACTTCACTTAAAGTTTAAAACTTCTTCTCATTTTTATATTCATCCAACAAAATGATGTTCATTCAGCAAGACTTTTTTTGGTCCATGTCTAAAAATAAATACATTTGACATGTGATTTTGTTGTTTGTCTTTTTATTTTATTTTTGCCAGTGCCATACAGCAACAATGCTTGGGGATGTGGTCTTTTACAAATTTGAAAATACTGTAAGAATGTCACTTTTGTAGAATTGGCTTCTTTATTTTATAATGTATGATTAATGTCTACATCAACAAATGTTAACCACAGAATCGTATCGAATCGAATCGTATCGAACCGTATCGGTCCTGCACTGTATTGAATCGTATCGAATCGTTCTGTATTAAAAATATATCGTTTTTGAATCGTATCGTAACCTGTGTATCTAGATACGTATCGAATCGTCTATCACAGAGAGATTCCCAACCCTACTGAGTTCCAGTGTTTTTGGCATGTAACAAAAGCCTTAGTTTTCAACAATGTTGTATGGACGCAGATCTTTGCACATGAAGTAGGTGATGTACTGTATTATTTTCTTAACTCTCTCAGAGTTGGATGTTAGTTTTGTCAAGCTAAGTGTGTCCAGTGTTGGTTGAGTGTTGGTTGGGTATTTTATAAAGTCCAGATGTTTGATTTAAACGCCAACGGCGCATTTCTGATTTCTTTCTCCAGTGCCTCCATCTTTACTTCCTGCCAAATGCCGATGACTGAGACCTCTGCTGACTTTGCCAAGAATGAAAAAAACCTCAGCACCATCTAGTGGAATGAAAATGCTATTTTTGTTGTTATTCTAATAGCAAAAGTTGTATTAAAATGTGTATTTGCAAAAAATAATAATGTATATAATAAAAGATTAATTCTTGGCATCCGTATATCGATACAATATCGCCACACGAAATATAAAATACTATGCTGTATCAATTTTTTCCCCCACCCCTAATTAAAACACTCAAGAATAAACTTGGTTTGCACGGAGGTGCTCTGGTTGATGGTTGTTAACTGTTCCAGATACCTTTCAATAATGGCTGTCAAAATCACACCCACTTTCATTATTTCTGTCACAGCCTCTTCACAGTCACAGTAATTAAAGGTGTTGTTGAATTCCTGCTGTGGTGTTGTGGCAGGTCAATGAGTCCAGCCCAGGCAGACCTGATGTTCCTGGAGAATGCCAAGAAACTCTCCATGTACGGAGTGGACCTCCACCAGGCCAAGGTGAGCACAGGAGCTACAGCTCTTTAGCTTCTCTGCTAGTCAGCTGCTCGTAACTGCTTACTGCTTGAGAAAAGTACCTTGTCAAAGTCAACCTTGTTTTCCAATGGTGACTGCAAAATCCAAGAATGCTTCATAGATCAAGTATAACAGATAATACGCTTAAAGACATATTTCACAGCAGTAAACTGGGCTCTCTGTGCAGCTGCCATGTAGCACCAATTTTAAATACTTTGAAATCGGTGCTTCATGACCAGACAAAACAGAGAAAAAGGGCTGTGGGATTCACTTCAGCTCAAGGGGTAGAAAACCTACAATTATCATGAATGCACTGCATCGCACCTGAACAAAAAATGCTCCAACTGGTTGGTGGCGCAGTGCAAGCTCATCTGTTTTGACATGGGACACAATATGGTGACTAGCTGGTAACAAACAATCTTGAATTACAGTTAAAAAGTAACCTAAAATATATTCTTAAAAGCATTTGAGGAAATTGAAATAGGCAATGCAGTAACAGAGTCTTTGTTTATATTTGATCAGCACTGCTTAGTTTTACCATTTGATTTGAGTTTGGTTTGAATTTCCCTGCGCCTGTGGTTGTAGGCATAAAATTGTGGAAGTACAATCTGTATTTTAAGCGACAGCCCAAGAGCCAGTGAAAAATTTGAGCTTAGAGATGAACAGGAAGATCTGGGCGCTGGTCAGATGGAGAAAGTTTACCACAGTTCAATTACACACACTTCCTACATTGTTATAATACAAAGCTGGTTGAAAATCGGCAAAGTATTCCTTTAATCTGGGTGTGACTGTGACTTTGCCATCTGATGGTCCATGAAAACAAACAGCATAGATGCGTATAGAAAAACCATAATGTGATTGCAGCTTTGTGTCTGTTATTCTTAATGCCATGCATCAGAGAAGCTTGCATGCCTGGCCTGAACAGCAGTGAGACATGTGACTTGTGAGGTCTTACAGCCAAAAATCAGGTCAATGTGTTTGCGTCAGAGCAGGGATTTAACTAAATATGGGGGGAGGACTTGTACCTGTCTATACTGCCCCCCTGTGGATGATGGTGAGTACTACAAGGAAGCTGCATCATAAAACAGCTAACTGCTGAGGATGCAAATACAGCAGAGTACAACTTCTCTCTTTCCATGGATTATCAGTGGTAGTAGTGCATACAGTAGGAAACATTTTAAACACATGCGCTGTGCTGATTTCTAAGTCATCACTCCTCAAGGTGGGATCTGTCGCAAAGCAAGATTTTATTAGTATTAACAACTATCACATCTGGAAAAGCAATAAAATGATAATGTTAAAAGTAAATTTGGATCTAAATACAGTATTGAATCAGCTTATGCATTGAATGCATTAAATGCACTGAAGTGTAAAAACTTAACTAAACTACTTTTATTAGTTGTAAATAACAAAAACTCCAACGTTTAAGTCGGATCTGAAATTGCCTTTTGTTGGCTGATGAGGCAGAAACGGTTTAAAAATACACCATGGGAAATGTTCCAAAAAACCCAACAAAGTGTAGACTCCTTCAGTGTAATCACTTATGGCCCACTCTCAGTGTGTGGTGGTGTATTTGTCTGCACAAACTGCTCTCTGCTGGATTTTTTTTCTTTTCTTCTTAATTTGCTGTATTGATGACGTTTCTGTTCACGGTGTGCAGGTGAGGTCGAGACTTTAAAAAAGGTAGCGACCAGGTGCCAGATTGTAAGTAGCATGCATTCAAGAGGAAGCTATGCAAATTGTGGACACAGCATTAGAAAACCAGGGATAAAGCAAATGAGAGCTAATCTGGGCTGTTGGCTTTTACTTTCACTTTTACTGGTGATATTATTTCAAACATTAATTACAATTCTTGCATAGTATAACTTTGAATGGCAGCCTAATTAATATGCACAACCTCTAGATGCAGCATTTGACTAAGGTAATGTTATAAAATTACAACTCACAAGGTTCACTGACAAATTACTTGTCTTTTACTACACACCTTCCCCCACAAATACAACATGCTAACTTTATTAGCACAGGGCTATGGCATTTACATTGTTTAAAGTAGCCTGGTGGCTAGCAGAGCTTTTATTTACTCTCATGAAGCTAGGATAAATCACACACAACACTTGAAATGCAGGTCTGCTGTCACTTTCCTCCCAAGTAACAGTGCTGTAGTTAACCTCTTCGATTTAGGTTCATCCACAGGTCTGTGGTGATTCCCACACTCCAAAATAGTGCTTTGCTGTCTTTGTTGATGCAGTTACCTGCTGACATCCTGACATCAGTCTGATAAGCTGCACCTGGGTGCTCAGCTCTTAGGTGGTAGCTCGAACTCAAAGTACTTCAGTGATATTTTAATTCCATTTGGCACAAGGTGCATATTACTTTTGACTCGACAACTGATCCCACTGTGAGTTTTTCAAAGTGAAAGGAGCCATTTAGAAGTGCAGTGGTGTCTTATTTTTCATCACTGTGGCAATAGGAAGCACACTGCCACAGCTTGACTACAAATAAGGGTGCATCGAAAAAACAAACTAGCAGCACGGCATTAATGCAATTGAAAATAAAATAACCCATTATGTGCAGAATTAATTGCAACGTGATTAGCGTGTTAACACTGACAGATCTATCTTTTCTGCTTTAAGACACTGGGAGTGTGTCCGCTGAATGCATTGAAGCCCAGCCCACTTACGGGAAAGCTGCAGTCTCTCTTAATTGTAGCACTACAATGGATGCTCCATCTAGCAGCTGTATTGGACTTGTACAGCCAGACATGTTTGAGCCACCACAGCCAGAATCAAAATCGGAGCCAGACGACACTGACCTGCCTAAGACCTGCCTAGTTTTTCTCAGTCTGCTACAGAATAGTAATTTATATTATATATTTTCAAGAAACAACAAAACCCAATGGCTCTAATTCTTAAATAGTGTACGGGCAGGACTTATGCTAAGGGTTGCTTCACTGCATCATTGAGCATGCTTTTAGTCCCGCCCAAAAAACACCCTAGACACAAAAATGGTGAAAAACAGTATAACTGTCTAAGGGGCTGTGCACATGCCACGTCTTTAACTGCCTGGAAACGCAAGGTCGGGCGCTGGGTGCTACTCTTGTGCCTTTTCTGTGCCAGCTTTCAAGAGCATGGCAGCAGGTTGGGTGTGAGGTTGCTAAGCAACCTTAACAAAAACCATATCATAGCCTGTTTACCTGAAATCCTGAGTGCAGAGCTTATCTTCCTCCCGGCGCTGATTATGTGAAGGCCTGCTTTCCGAGAGACAGATGTAAAGCTCTGGCAGCCCTGCAATTAAATGATCAACTTGTTCTCCATGTTTACCAGACACTTATATCTACCAGTCAAGTGAAAGATATCTGCTGGCTGTGACTGTTTGGTCCTTGTCAGATGATGTGCACTGCGTGCTGCTACATTCCAAAAGTTGAACTCTACCTGCCCTGAAAATTATGTGCTCAGAAACATGTGGCACTTTGACAGCATCGCTTTGGTGTTGGAGCGGTCCTGCCACGCATCTGCTTTGGGGGTGCAAAAAACGCAGCATGTGTACAGCCCCTAATTCCACTATTCAGTACTATATAGTTCCCAGTCTTTTTACATGTTTTCAACAAGTGTTTTGATGTAAATCTAATATTTTACTTTACCCTGACTTTAAATTGCCTGTAGGTGTGAATGTAAGTGTGAATGGTTGTAATAAAAAAAGCAAAAGATGATTTGTTGTTGCCCTTTAGATTTGATCTGGTTCATGTTTACACTGAATTATTGTTAACAGTGGTGTCACAAAGAGTGCACCAAGAAATCACTGATTATTAGACTTATTAGTCCAGACTGAAACTGGACAGCACCAGACACGAAGGCCACCTTTTTAGGTGATGACCAATGCTTTCGTTCATACCAGAGTTTGATGGACAGCTTTTAACATCAGCCCAAATGAACAGAACCAAATAGGCACACACCAAACACACACCACGTCTTTGAACCAAGTCAAACAAAGTAGGTATGAAAGTACCCTAAAATAATATTTAGGCCTACTATCACAAAATAAAGTGGTTGGTCTGCTTTGCTTTCACACCTCAAATGCACTGCAGCAGTCTTCTTGGAAGTGGAGACAGAGCCTCCTCTTCAGCTGGTTTCAGTGTGCTTGTTTAGTTGGTTTGACTGACAGTTTTCACGCCAGGTGAAGGAACCAAAACAAATAGCTTAGGCGTGAAAGCAACCTTAGTGTGATGGAACCTGTGTTGCAAGGCAATGCTTTATTTGATGCATGTTCTTGAAGCCTTAGCACACACCAAATCATCATACAGACAGAAGAAGGTTGAAAGATACAGTAGCCAGAATGTGACAATGCATCCAGGGAGGAAATGTGGAAAAGCTGTTTTTATTTTCTTTCTGAAGTCATCCTGCAATGACATGTGTTGCCCTTTAGACAGTACTCTCCACCACTATGATCAAAAACATTAATTGATTAATTGACTGATGTTGTTTGCTTGTGGTGGAACGCAACTTATGTCACTTCTTGAATTGTCACCCATTTAAGATCTCCTTTATCTTTGCTGTTCATTTCAGGTTCCCTTAAAATGTTTTAGCTTTCTGAAGTCTGCATATTCTATTGACATTGAATGGATATCTTTCTGTCTCTGGGTGTCTCTGTCAGGATCTCGATGGTGTCGACATCATGCTGGGGGTTTGCTCTAGTGGCCTGATGGTTTACAAGGACAAACTGAGGATCAACCGTTTCCCCTGGCCCAAAGTCCTCAAGGTCTCGTACAAACGCAGCAGCTTCTTTATCAAAATAAGACCATCTGAGGTACAGAATATTTTCATATCAACAAATATTCCTCTCCCTGTTACATTTGTAGTTCACTGTCTAACATTATAATTTATTTAGTCATCTATTTAGCAGCATTGTGTTTCTTGTTTTAACAGGTGGAACAGTATGAGAGTGCAATTGGCTTTAAACTGCCCAATTACAAGGCAGCCAAGAAGCTTTGGAAAGTGTGTGTAGAACATCACACTTTTTTCAGGTAGGGTATTGTATTCTTTAGGTCAGCATGCTCATGTGGCTGTGCAGTGTTTTCAATGAAGGAAATGTGGACATTTTGCTAAATATGTTTGCTTGCTACCTGACCCAGAGTCAGATCAGAGGGTCAGTATCAGTGATCTTTGTCTACAGGCTGACCTCCACTGAGATGGCGACCACTCCTAGGAAGTTCCTGGCATTGGGCTCTAAGTTTCGCTACAGTGGTCGGACTCAGGCTCAGACCAGACAGGCAAGCTCTCTGATCGACAGGCCAGCTCCTCTGTTCCAGCGCTCCTCCAGCAAGAGAAACTCACGCAGCCTGGATGGAGGTACACCTGTTGTTTGGGTTGTAGGCATCTGTGTGTGTGTGTGTGTGTGTGTGTGTGTGTGTGTGTGTGTTACAATGCTGGTTACTGTGGTATTGGCTGACAATTAAGAACACTTGTGTTCGTCTTTTTTTAATAATGTACACATCATGACTACCACATGTATCTTGTGTTCCTTTATAGTGTTGGTTGCAGTGGTTACCAACTGTCTGTCATGTGGGAGGCAGGAGTTCATTTCCCTGACTCGGGGAGTTGAGTTTTATACCAGTTGCTGATTATGTAGCAGTTGTTTCTGTTCAACAGAATGGATAGCAAGTTCATTTTATATTCTGCATTTACAGCAATGATTTGAAATGCATTTAGCCATCATTATTAATACTGCATTACCTGCAGGAAATACATTTTTTAGTTTTTATTGTGGTCCTTCGAGTTGGATACCCTGTGCTTGCCCTTTCTCAGGATGGAACTTATGTCCCTTTGGAGACTGTGTGCTGTATGTGCAACATTCAGCTTCCACTATGGCTAACAGATTATGAGCTCGGCTCCCACAGACACAGGCTTGCCAGCTCCTCAGTGCCCAGCTTACAGTATACAGAATGGCATGCAGGTAGTCCAGAAGAAAAACTAGTAGGAGAGGAGCACTTATTAAAAGGAGCAACCTGTTTGTACTCCCAGTTAGGACTGATAAAATGTCATGACCTTCCCAGGGAACCTAGAGAGGATCTACCTTGCTCCAGCCCTTGCAGGCAGCTAGTTCAACAGCTACAAGCTCCGGATGGATGCTCCAGATGGAACTACAAAATTTTTAGCATCCAACGTGCTCCACTGCTGTAAAGACTGTGCTTAGAGAGAAGTCTAGCTCCCCTCCAAGTGATTATTCTTCTCTGCTTCAGTCCCTTTTAAGAACCCCAGGTCAGAGGTGCCCCTACTTATTACCTGCATGAGTACCCTTCCTGACTCCTGTGGATGATAAACCAACTGCATGCACTCAGCATCAGCCGTTCAGTACCCCAGCACTGCACAGCAGTTACCCTTCAGCTGACCAAGGCTACAGCCCTGCTAGATATGAGAGGTCAAAGGGAGTAATTAGCATGTGAGGATTCCATAATGGACCTTCTAGAAAAGCTGATGCATGAGCTGCAGATACGAAAGGGCTGTACCACATCATCTACAAAGTCAGAACCCTGTCCATTGGAGCCAGCCATATACCATTAATATTATGATCAGCTACAGCCAACTCCTGACCGGGCCCACTTTGCTGCATCGGAAATCTGTCAATCCATTCCTTATCTGCACCACAGGCCACGCCCCCTGAGAGCTGGTCTACCTACTCACAGCAACCGATCAAGATGACACCTTCATTTCTACACCCGCTACATATCCTCAGCCCGCCATTTACCCTTGGACAACCTATGCTTAGCCAATGCCTGCTGCTCAGCATTGTGCTCCAACATGGCCACTAATTCTGTATTCTCCTCAAGGACACTCACAGCTATCAACACCAGTGGGTCCTGAGAGGAGCTACCAGGGACCAAAGCCAACCATACCAGATTTTGTCCATCAAGACCCTGGAGAATTTGCATGACACAGGTTTGCCAAGATTGAGGCTAACCCTGCAGTGTTGATTTCATTTACGATGACGAAAGATGTTTGTCAATAACCTTCTTTTCCATGACCAAGAGGGGATGTTGATGAGTTAAGAATACATCTTTGATAATAAAAACTATGATTAAACGTATGTTTTGTTTTATAGACAAGATTGGACAAAAAAAATAGTGGTGGGCTAACAGACATTGAAAATGTGAAATGAGAGAAGAGTACAGAATGATGAATTATTTTATGAAACGTTTTACAAAAAAGTTTTAAACTAGGAAGCTGAGAACAGTCATGCTTGCAATTATTTTCTCATGCCATGACAGCAGTACAACCTCGGAGTGGCAGTGGGTAGGTAAACCCCAATAAATAGCTGGCACCAGGATGTTTTGCTAGCCTGAAAAAAGAAATACACCAAAGCATCAGTCGTTGGTGCAAGTTGTGAGCTTTAATTCATCAGTAAATAAGTAGCTGTTTGTGTGACTGTGGATGGTGGAGATGTTGAATGGATTTGTGGACTTTGTTGTGTTGCAGCGGTGGCTGTTTGCAGCGAGCTCCGCTTATTAGCCGCTGAACCACAGCAGAGGAAGCATCACCAGACTTGGCAGGCAGGAGGCTCAGTTATTTGTGAGTGTATCTGTGCTGTATGTGAACGGTCTAAAATCAGCAGAGTTTTATCTGACAGTAAATGCAGTTTTAAGCCTCCTACAGGTGCAATCTTATGAAGCTCAGCATAAGTTCAATCAGAATGACTTTCTCTTTGCTCATCCTTTCACATTTCTCTCCATCCCACTCTCACTACTCCCTCAAATCAGCTGACTTTGGGTGTTCACTCCTCTGGTTATCCAATCAAACTTTGTCATGATCTCTCGCAGCCAATCAGGATGCCACTGCAAAATTTTAAATAAGCTCTCTTTTCTGCTGCTGTCAGCCATCATTCTAGGCAGAATCTTAGCGCTGGCAATCACTCACCTTACCCTTTTTCTTTCAGTTTCTTGTTGATTGTAACAAGCAGATGTGCGATTCCTCAGCAGAATCTGAATCATCTCTCACTCATCACGTCCTCCCGTTCAGGCAATCTCACCTGTTATAAGTCAGTATTGTCATCGCGCAACTTCATTCTCTGTTTCCATATTCAGTCTCGATCTCAGTGACGTGCATGGATTCAAGATATGGTCCCAAACTACACGTATGATCTGTTTCTTCTGGACACCTTGCACATGTACACTCAGATTGCCACTCACAGTCCCCGGCTGCTCCGGCCAAGCCTTCTAGGCCGGGAGCCAGGTCCAGTCCTCAGGATGTTTTTTGCTACCTTTTTTTCATTATTATTTTCAGTTATCCCATACCTTGGGCCATCACAAGTTGATAAGGATTACCCTCAACTCTGGGCCGTTTGGTCTCAGGGGCCAAAAAAAACCCTTTTTGGGTATAGTTTCTGGTGAAATGATGTCATTGCAAATATTAAGGTACTGCAACTGCATAAATGGTCAGAAAAGTCTCAATTTTTGCATGGTGTATCCTGAGCCACTGGGGAAACTAGCAGAATAAGATTCTGGGGCTTTCTGCCTTTCTATTTTCAAATATCACCCTCATCATACCCCAAAAGACAAAAAAATGTCTGTCTTCCTGACAAATTTTCATCATAAGTGATTATTTTCAAGTATTTTATTACACATCTCACTGCCTCAGATGTATATGAAAAACTTCTCAAGTTTATAAGCTTCAATTTAAGCCCAAGATGACCTTTCTATCTAGAAGATTACACCTGCTATGACCAAAGTTCTCCACTGTATCTCAAATCGGAGAAAACAGAACTTTCAAGCATTAACCTTCCAAATGGGATTAGGCTTATTTCTTGCATCTAAACAACATCTTAAACAAGATTTGAGAATTGAGGTATGTACTGTTATACTATCTGAAGCGAATTACGTGAAAAGTGAATACTACAGTATATGTTACACCCCTAGGTAGACCGGGGTATCAGGGTGCAACATAAAGCTATGCTGCGGCTAATGGTGGATCCTAAATAAACAAACAAACAAACAAAAAAAGCAACAGATTGAGCAAAGAAGGGTGTGGACAGTCACACAAAACCAGGGAAACAAATATGAGATTTATTAAAGAAGAAAGTCCAGGCAACACAAGGAATAAAGATGACTCTAGTGTGCAGTCATCACTAATTATCAATAAGCCAACCATCAATAGAGGCTACTAACCAACAGCCAAGATAAACATTTATTATAGCCAAATGGAGAAACTAAAATACATCTCAAACATAAAATAGAATACATTTCTTTGGGTCTTAGATCTTTTCACTGCTCATCTATTGTACTCTGACCTCTGGTCATATTAGTGTTTATATTATTTGTTGTAGAATATGTCTCAGAAGATTTGTTTATAAAGATTTATTTATGCTGTCTCCTATATTACTTTCTCGGTGTGGCAGTGGTTGTCTGAGATATATGATCTAGCTACACTGATAGCATTTCTCTGATCCAGGATGCGTCCTCAACGTGTTTATGAAATCATCCTAGTGAGCTATGTGAGGAATCTTTACAATCGATACATTAGCTGGTGATGGAACTATGTGGATAGAACTGGATTTTAATCATCATTTTCCTCTTCTTCCTCATCATCATCCATAATTGTATGAATTTCATCAGCCAAGTCATCCTCATCTGTTTCCTCTTCTGCCAAGACATCAACGAGGGCTTTGGGGATGACGTCCCCCTCAAACCATAGTGGTTCTAGCTTGCCAGTCTCCGTGTTTATATGAAATCCATGGTCAAGAGGGGATGGGATCTCCGGGTAGTGCTCATGTGCCCTCTTCCAGATGCATACCTGGAAGTTGACTCTTCTCATGTGCTGTAAGAGGACCCTCTTGCAAGGTGCGAAGGTCGAAAGATCAATGGAGAGACCCTGTCGAAGCTCAAGGCTTGAGCCACACATCTTCTTTACTTTAATCTCTCTTGCCTCATCAACCTTCTTGATTCGACGACTGAAACCATAGAGGCGACACGTGAACTCTTCAACACCACTGAGAATCTGCTCATCGAGCTCCCAAGAGTTCCCCACTTCAGCAAAGATCTGAATAAACTTTGAATTCTGATTCAGAATCTTCATCGGTCGCACCTTCCCTTTGCCTTTAAATGCACTGGTGCAGTCATCACCAGTGAATGCATGCAAGGCCAGGAGAGCTGATATGTGTTCGTTTGAGTAATCTTCAGCCAGCTGGTTGATGTTGATCAGTCTATCTCTGATGTCTAAGATTATGTTGATTGTTGATGACTTGGCATAATATAGGAGGATAAAGAAAATGTCAGAGTCTTTTGCTCTGACTCTGACTGTTCTGATGTGAGGCATTTTGTTTTGGATAAATTGCATGTAAATAATCACCCTCACATCTG